CAAACCAGGTCACCGACCAGTAACTACTCGTAGCAGCTTATTCATGGAATTCGGTCGTTCAGTCACCAAAGAGCATTCCCTTGATTCAATGATTCACATGTCATTTGGCAGGAAAAAGCAATATACTGTATATATACTGTATATAATATCAAGTTCAGTTTGATATCCGGATGGATTGCTACTGTAGCTTTTTCAGACATGCCCTCAAGGTTTTTGTCATCAATCAGCGAAACAAATTGAACAAGAACAGAAACGACGTCGTTGCAATCAAGATCGATGAATGCAATTCAATACGCATACGGCATACATATCATATGCTGTGTATATTGAAGTTACTGAAGTGACTCGGAAGCTTTCATCACTGAGCAGTTGAGCCATGGCTTATCGGCCTCATCAACGCCGATCTTTGTTGATAGCCCTTCTGGTGCCCTTGTGGTTGTTGCGACCGGCGCTGTTCGCGATCCCACAGGACAGGAGAATGAGTCGGTACCTTCTGCAAAATTGAACGGTCAACATGCACAAGTGTGACCTTGATCTTGTTTCAGCTAGAAAAGCAAGTCAATGGCACTGTGAACTCTTAGCCCAAGTGAGTTTTCTTGATGAGGGCAATGGAACATGAAGGAACAGACAGTAGTTAGGATATGTTAAGATTCAAGACGCGGTGAATTGGAGTTGGGTTCTTTTGTTTCGGGCCTTGCTGTGCAAGAACATCAAGTGAACGGTACTTTTGGCTCAAAGGACGAAGGATAAGGTTTCGCATCCGTTGACTGCACCGCACCGCACCGCATGCGGTAGAACCTCCATCGAAATCGTAGAACCTCCATAGTAGCTCCATCGTTTGGCGATGGCTGTGGCTTCGGTGGTATGCCCTGAGCTCGGCTCCTCCGTTCAGAGCATCGTTACTTCGGCTCCGCATTGCACACCTCGGCCTATGACGACTGTTCGCAGTGTCCCAGAGATCATGACCACAAGGCCACCAACGACGCATATCTCAAGGGTTGTGACCCAACCAGTGGCTCAACCAGAGACTACAGTGACATCAGTGACTACTCAGAGCACCGATATGGTGGCACAGCTGCAAGGCCAAGTGAACTATTGGCATCAGCGCTTTCACGACGTTGAGACATGCTTCTATCAAGCGAAGATGCAGTTGTCAAGCGTTTCGGAAAGAGAGCAGTGCTTGCAAGCGAAGATCATGCAGCTGGAGACTTGTCACAATCATGCAACCGATGAACTTTGCAGCCTACGACTCCTCATAGAAGAGCGGGAAGTGAGCTTGCAAGATGCTCGTAAAGAGCTTGCTCTCAAGCAGCAGGAGCTTGAGGCTGAGAAGAGATTTCGACAGGACGAACTTCAGCGGCAAAGCCTCCGGATTGAGCAGCGAAAGGCCACAGAGGCAAAGCTCGTAGAGACTCAAAGGCTCTTAGACGGTGCCTGGAAGGACAACAAGGCCTTGCAGTGCCAGCTTCAGTCAATGGAGCACCAGCTGCAGATGAGAGGAGAGGAAGTGAATCGGCTACTTGTTGAATTGACCGAAGAGCGCAACCTCTATCATGCCACAGTGGCTGAGAATTGTGTCTTGCAACAAAAGATTAAGTCCTTGGAGGAAGTGGTGTCCGAGAAAGAGAGTTCCCTTCAGTTCCTCGAAGCGACCTGCAAACAGCTCAGCAGTGAGCTGAGCGACGAGCGCAAGTCACATCATGCAGCTGTGGCCGAGACATGTGAGCTTCGACAAAAGGTCAAAGCTCTACAAGAGGAGTCTGCAGAGCACCAAAGGTTAGCAGACTTCTGGAAGTCTGAACGAGATATGTGGTTTTGCAGGAGCAATCACTTGGAGGAATTGAACGGTCGACTACATGCGGGTTTGCATCAAATTGCGAACGATCCTCAGCTCATTCCGATGCCACCAGCGCATCCGCCAATTACACCTCGCCCTTTGATTTGCACAAGGCGCTCCATCGAGCCTGTGCACGTCGAGCATGTGCACATCGAGCCGGTGCAGCCTGTGCAGCCTGTGCAGCTGGAAATCCACACGGGCCACACGGGTGGTTATGCCTCCTCGTGACCAAGTCACACTGTTCTGTTTCACGGAGCTTGTCCTGAGGACAATCTCAAGAAGCAACTAGTCCGGAGAAAGATCTCTAGGATAACTTTAAGCTCAAGCCCCAGAATCGCTCAGTTTCAGGCTTTGGTTCGCACCCTGATTCAGCGCACTCTTTCTTTTGTTGAGTACAACGCCCAAAGCACCGTGTGTGTAAGGAGCCCAAAGTGGAGTCGCCCGTCAGCATGCAGCACTACTCTATGTTGACACGCTTCGAGAATCTTTGAGGCTTCAAGGTACACCTTTTTGATTCCTTTGAATGCAATGAGAGTAAAGCGACAGGCCATTTCCAAGATCATCACTAGAACACAAAAGTTAGAAGTGCTGGTGATGATGCTGGAAGCGCTGCGTGCAGAGGTTCTACACCATGGATATGACCCTTGGCCGGCTATTTTGCATTCTTTTTCCGACAGGATTCATTACTGGAGACCCTGTCGCTGGATCGTTAATGACCCTGTCGTGTCAAACGGTGCTTTATGGAAAACATCGGAAAGCCAGCTTTTTTGACGCTGTGTGTGACCCTCAGGTGCCCGTACGCGCAAAGGACGTGGATCGTATTGGAGGAGAAAGGCATTCCCTACAGCCGCAGGGTCATTAACTTGAAGAACAAGACAGAGGTTGACTGGTACAAAGAGCATGTGAATCCTTTGGGAAAAGTTCCAGCCATTCGGGACACGGATGGTACAATTCTGTATGAATCAGAGATCATCAATGACACTTGCCAGGATTTCACCCGAATGGGCTGGCGTCAGTGCATAGCTTCTCCACTTTTGGCCCAGGATTGTAACTTGAGGTTGGCTTCTCCGCTTTCCTTCGCTACTAGAGGATTCTTGCAGGAAGCTTTTCACATTCTCAGCCACATACCTAATATACTTTGCACATGGGGATCCTGTGAGTGTCAGAAACAGGGTACTCCAATTGATGTTTGTCAGTTTCTACATAAGCTGTTTGTCTTGGCCAAAGCTTGGGCGGCCGACATTCTCTCAAAAAAACAGGACTGTGGACATTTTACATACTGTATTATACAGTAATGGCTCCAAAGGTGCTCTTTTCGTGCACCTTTTTGTGCTGCGAACTCGTTGAGTCCGAGCTTTGGCACGAAAAACTTCTTTAGTCCAAGGAGTATTTGCAGCAAAAGTTCACCTGTGGTCCCAGCTTGATGCCCGAAGACGCTGCTGGCTGTGCCAAGGTGCGCCTTTGGAACCATCATCTCAATACAAAGCTCCCTGTCGCTGAAAAACACATTGAAAAACATCACTGTCCATTCGATCCTCCATTCCTTTGCAACGATTTGTATGTGCAGATTTGTGCCAGGTGGTTTGACAGGAATGTAATTATCATCGCATATCATCCTTTGGAAGTAGACTCTAGGTGAATAGACGCCTTATGTGCCTGGGTCATTCCCGCAATAGAGTGCTGTGATGCGCTGTGATGTGGCGTGGGTTCAAAGTTTCACCTCTCAGCTAAGTCATACTGGACACTTCTCGACAGATGCCATGCGCGAGGTAAACGGACCTGTCAAGCATTGTGCTTTTAAATCAATCCAGGCGGAAGACCTCAGACATCCTTCTTTAACATGTTCTGGGGGAAGTGTCGTTAAATTTTTTGAGACCATCGTTGTGTGCCATCTCTTTGTGGAAGGATCACTGTGCGGAAGGAAAATATATGAAAATATGACTATAGAGGAACTGCTTCCTGCTTCCCCGAACTGAGGCTAGCGCCGGCCCACTTCACATTTCTCATGAACAAGAATCAATCCGCGGATGCGGACAAGCAAAGAGCACTAGAGGAAGCCCTACAATATTATGAGGAGAGAAAGAGAGAGTTTACGCTTGACAATATTTTAAAACATGACATGTTTTTCGCTTTAACGCTTTGCGATGAGGCCGCGAAAGATCCGCAAAAGATATTTGTTTTGTTTTTGCCCGCAAAGAATGGCCATTCCAGGATGAAAGACTATTGATCAACCACCATGTATTTGACATGGTTTACATGTCGATCGTTGTCGGATTGCCAGGACAATCTCGAAGGGCCATATCTTGCTGGAGAATTTTCCTTGGCTGAAGCATCTGCCTTGCCGTTCTTCGAGCGCCTCACTTTTTCATGTCGCAGATTCAAGGACTACGAGATCCCGATGCTTCACTGCAAACAGTTTTTGCATCAAACTGTCAGGGAGATAATCTCGACAGCTTTTGTTTGCCCAGGAAAGACATGACAAGGCTACAGAAATGGTTGGACAAAGCGATGCGTCACTCTTCTTTCCAGGCTACGAAACGGCCTGAAGACAAACTTGAAGAAGTTTACAGGATGTTCCTATCTGTAGACTACAAGTTTGGAGGTCTCAATCGAAACTGAATTGGTTAGGTTAATCGGCCGTTGACGCAACAGGCGTCGACAGCATTGTACAGGCTTTAAGGAAGACCGAGACCATCCGAGACAGCCAAGGCTTCATGCTAAAAGGGCCTCAATTGGAGTGAGCCAAGGATCGGGTGACGGAGCAAATACCAACCTCGCAAGGCGAAATCAATGACGGTGTAGAAAGCCCAAATCACTCCTTGCCAATGATCAGCATTGATCAGCTATTCCACTCTTGAAGGTGGTTGCTTGTTGTGAAGAAGAGCGTCAGGCCGTGATAAGATGTGACAAGTTGATCAGGCATTTTTCCCAATCCGAAGAAGATATTATTTTACTGCTAGAAGCAAGAAGCTACTAGGTGGAGGCCATTGCTACTAGTAACAAGAAGCTTTACATGCAGTTCGATTATTGCGACGAGATTAGATGTCCAGAGGCATTTACTGTAGTTTAGGGGCTCCTAGGAGCAAGGACGCTACTAAGGGCATACTATTATTTTTGACCCTACTCATTGCATACACTCGCCACGCAGAAGCTGGAAAGCGAGGGAAAGCTAGGTGAACAGGACAGGGGTAGTGGAACTGTTTCCTGCATGGTGGATTCAAGTTTAAACTGCCTGAAACTGTCCGAATGCTGATCATCACATTGATCATCATCGCAATGATCGTCATGATTCCACTATAAAAGGTACAGATGCTGTTCATCGAGAAGGCAGGGGGCACTTGATCAAGACGCTGCATGTTTGGAAGGATGGTGACTTTATCGATGTGGCCGGCGAGCACTGCTCTTAGGAAGTGAGAGAAGCGTCGTTTTACGCCCTTTGTGGCCAAACAAAGGGACACTAGTTTGTCCAAACCAAGACGAAGCAAGTTCAGGGATGTCAAGTGACTAATAATGCATCCGTCCATTTCATCCATGTGTGCGATGTTTGATGTTCATTGTTCAATGCCGCCGAATCGCTTGCTTCACACCTAGCATCCGGGTTTGCATTGCCATCACGGAGTCGGCAGCGAAGGGTGGTGATGGCCCCAGTTGCATGCGCAGCTTATGCTTTTGAGCCTGGAGAGGAACAGACTCAGAAATTAGAAAGCAGAATCAGACTCAGACTAAGTGTGGGGAGTCTTTGGACAACCTGCACAGCACTTAGAGTCAGATTTCGGTTTCATTCCGACATCGGATTTTGAGATGTGCAAGTCTGGGGAAAGGCTACAGTGTGCCAGAGGAAGTGCTGGATGGTACTTGTATCTCTGAAAAGCGATGACGCAGTTGGTAGGAACGGATAAAAGGTGGAGCCCGCGACAGGGCGCGTGACGCTGTATGAATGAATGCGTCAGCTAGTCACGCCTCACGATAGCTCGCTCTGCTCACATGTAGCGTAGTAAGACTGAGAGAGTTTTCAAGATATGCCGCGCCGTCACGACTTAGTTACTTTTCCAAGTTTTGCCCAACAAAGGGTGGCAACCATAATGCCTTAAGCCCGTTTGGACCATGCCCCTGGCATTGGCTTGTGTCTAAGGCTACAATAGCATAGCAACCACTAGCAACGGTCAAAACAACTGCTTTTGTCAGGTTGCGATGGCCCCGATGGTATTACACGGATGCAGGAGGCAAGACTGATGGGGCTCATTAGGGCTCGCCACGCCTCCTGGCCCAAGCGGCCATTTGTAGCGTGATTGGCTCACCCAAGAGGGTCCGATTCACCCAATTTCTCGCGGTACTGCCACATCGTTGCTATTTCCACACATGGCTATTTCTTCCAGATGTTCGTCGTTTGAGATTCGGAGTACCGACCAGCTTCGCGTGAAGCTGCTGGCCAAATGAAGCGCACTTGATCCTTTCCACGGCGTGTCTGCTGTTTTGAGGGGCGAATGTAACTCCGTAGCGTTTAGATCCGTCTTCCCCTGCACAGATGGCATTCTTTTCTTTTTCTCGGGACCTCATGGCGTCCTGATGGATCATCCGGAAGGTCGTTGGTGTGCGCCTTTATTTGGAAGAGTCTGTGCACGATGAGCACCAGGCTAGCTGGATCCTTCTCATTGCATCACATGCCGCATGCCTTTTCACTAGAAGCTCGCCATCCTGGTATACTCTTGCCATGCATGCGACATGGAAATACCATGCTGAAGATACCATATCATGCTCAAGAATAGCTGAATAGCTCCTAGTCTTCAGCCACTCAACAGATGTGTCTGCTCTTTACAGTGCTCTTGTTGCCGCAGCTTGTGGTGATGGCTGGCACCCGTGAACAGCTTCAAGAGGCTACAAGCTTAGTTCCCGAGGCAACCGTCTCAATGCTTAGTTACAGTTCTGTTCGGAACGGTCGACTCGAGATGGACGATGGATTCTCCGGTGACCAGTGCATGGTATTTGGTTCAATGTTCTAATGTTCAAAGAGTGTATGATGTGGTCGATATTGGTCGATGGTATTTGGTGGATTCATTTCCAGAGATGCATTGCATGTGACGCAAGGGCCTGCAGTACTTCAACAACTTGGTGCAGGCTGGAGCAAGATAATTCTGCATGAGCTTAGCATGCCACTGTTGGGTATGCTAAGGCACAAGTTCAAGAGTCTTGGTTTGCTGCTTGGGCTGACAAGACGTCCTTCTGGGAGCCAGGCACGGATGAGTCTTTGAACAAGTTGATACTACGTTGATACCATTGATTCATACACGACGCGGTGACCATTTAGAATCGATGGCTAAGATATGCCAAGATCTTTCAAATTTGGATTCTTGGTTTCTGGAAATTGTATGTAGCAATATGCAACACATGTACTGTATTATGTTTGCATCTTAGATTCTTAGATTCCATCAATCAGTAGATGACACTTGCACACCCCCTGTATCGCTGCCTGCTCAAAGAGACCTGGTGGATGGTCCGGTGATGTCTGGTGATCTTCATAAGATTTGTGTTTTGATCAAGACACCCCACATTCAAAACCTGCAGGCCGTGGAGGCTCGTGGTCAAATGAGGCGCTTTCGACCGGCGGGAAGCCACCCCCTGACCCTGCAAACTCCAAGCACCGGAACATCCTCTTTATTGGCGGCTTGTCGCAGCAGGGGCCACAGATCGCAGCAGGGGCTTGGCGTGATGGATTGTGCAGTGTATGCGGTTTACCCACAATGCTGTGTTTGAGATCATACGAGTAGCTTGTAGACAGACAGGGTGTTGTGTTGTGAAGAAATGCAGAGGCAGACGGACATTGAGAGCCTCGCCAACTACTTCGCACAGCCCGCATACACAGACGGTTTTGCTGTGTTTTTCTCTTTATTTATTCGTGCGCACTGGTGCCTTTTCTGAATCACTGGCATGGCTAGCATTGCGGCTCAGACCACAGTCAACTTGCTAAAACATCCAGGCGGTCAGAACATCTCAAGCAGAACTGGACTGGACGAATGTAATGCACTCAGAGATGCTGGGGCTCAGAGATCTACCCTTAGCCTTAGATCTATTCCTTCACTTCTTTACCCTTCTGATATCTTAACTTCGCCTTCTTTTGCAACTCCTCAGGCTCAGGCTGATTGGGCCATTTTGAGTCACCATGAGCTTCAGGGTTTCAGTGGCGTTGCTCAGTGGGGAGATGGTGACGCTTCCGGTGGAAGCAGAGACCCTGGTGGGAGAGCTACGGCAGATGGCACAGCAGAAGATGGGTCGGACTTTGGTCGCGCTGGTATCACAGGCCGGCGAGCGCTTGGATGTCTTTCCCACGCTCTTCCGCACCTTATCAAGTCTGGATCTGCAAGATGGAGCTGTGATCAATGCCCTTACCAAAGCGGGTCCCATCTTGCAGTCCCATCGGAAGGCCAGCACGTTTGCTGCAATTCGATCCGACGGCACAGTCGTGACTTGGGGGCACAAGTTTCATGGAGGTGACAGCCGATGCGTTCGCGATCAACTTGTGAACGTGCAGAAAGTCTATGCCACGCACAAGGCGTTGGCTGCCGTGAAAACTGATGGAAGTGTTGTCACCTGGGGGCATGCAGACCATGGAGGTGACAGTGCAGCTGTCCGGGACCAACTGTTTGAAGTTCAAGAAATATTTGCATCTATGCAAGCTTTTGCTGCACTCAGATATGATGGCTCGGTGGTAACCTGGGGTCTTGCATCGCATGGTGGTAGCAGCAAAGCAGTTGCAAAGCAGCTTCGAAACGTTGTGGAAATTTATTCGACAGAAGCTGCATTTGCTGCAATTCTTGAAGATCGTTCTGTGGTGACCTGGGGCCACCCAGAGCAGGGTGGAGATAGCACTGCAGTGAGCGAAGAGCTTTTCAACGTGAGAAGTATAGCTGCGTCTGGAAAAGCCTTTGCAGCTGTGAGGGAGGATGGAGCAGTGCTGAGCTGGGGACATCCAGAGTATGGTGGTGACTGCTCCGCGGTGAAAGAGCATTTGCAGCACGTCAAGTCCATCCATAGCTCCAGTGGTGCATTTGCTGCTATTCTAATGGATGGAAGTGTGCAAACGTGGGGGCATGCTCTCAGTGGAGGTGACTGCCGCTCCGTTCAGGCACAACTTGTAGATGTGCAGAAGATCTATGTGTCCAACAAGGCTTTTGCAGCCGTATCGACAGACGGCTCAGTGGCACCATAGAATGAAGCCGAAGCTTTGTGTGTTTGGAGTTGGTGGAAGGGTGCTGTACCAGGTAGGTCCAGGTAGGTAGCAACCGCCAGAAACATGTGAATGTTTAGTTTTAAGATGTCCAGATCACTGCAGTGATCACCATTGGTCACCTCAGGTAACATGGGGGCATCCCCTCTATGGTGGAGACAGCCGTTCAGCACAAAAGCAGCTTGTGAGAGTACAACATGTTCATGCCGCAGAGACTGCGTTCGCTGCCATCAGGGATGATGGTTCGGTTGTGACTTGGGGCCATCCTGAGTACGGCGGAGTAAGTGCTGCGGTGCAAGATCATCTTAGCGACCTGGCTTCATAATGAGAGCCAGGGCACTCTGGACACTCAACAGAGCTCTATATTTTGTGCCCCCAAATGCAAAGGCAAGTTCATACCACTTTACATTACAGGGTAGTCTTGGATAGTTGATACTCGCAGCACGTTTTTGTCATTTTATTGAGCAGTTGTGACCAAGGAAATGTGCAGCAAATTCATGCGTCCTTGGGCGCTTTTGTGGCAGTGACGGCTGATGGTGCTATTGCTGCTTGGGGACATCCAGCCTATGGAGGGGACAGTACCGTAGTGCCCCAGCGGAAGTGACATAGACCGACTGTGAATCGGTGATCATGGATGTTTTTTTGGCCGCAATGTGAGTATGGTGACAATATGTAACAATTGTTAACTTACAATGTGGTTGATCAACAATGTTGATCCTCATTACAAGATGATTATTTCAAGAACAGTCCAAGAAGAATTAGCCCTTCTTCTGGTCCTTCTTGTTCCTTGATTGTCAAACAACCTGCCGCAACGCAGCAGCGACAACCTAGCGGATGTGTCACATTGCCCAGGTCCGTGATCAGCTCTTCAATGTTTTGGAGGTCCATGCTTCCAGCGGAGCGTTTGCAGCTGTGAGGGCCGATGGTGTGGTCGTGACATGGGGACATCCGTTGAGTGGCGGTGATAGCCGCTCCGTTCGAAAGCTTTTGGCGGAGGCCTGAGGAGGCAGCACAGATTTGTATCAACACATATCAAAATATCTAAGATAGGACTTCTTGTGAGGAGCTCCAGAGATTGAAGCTACATGAGGTGTGTGTTGATGGAATTTTCCGGGCGCCAGCCTGGCGCCAGCTGCCTGTTTGTTCGGATCGACTATCCTTTGCCAAGAGTTGATCGAAGAATCCATTTGGTCCATTTTGGTCCCAAGTTTCAACCCAGGGCTCACGTGGGCTCAGATGCGCCCAGAATGGGCCGAATGGGCCATATAGATCGCAGATGTGCACCTAAATTGGGTGCCACTCTTAACAGGTCCAAAGTATGTGACCAGACACTGCGTAGCAAAAGCGCATAGACGGGATATGCAATCAACGTATGAAATCGAATAAACTTGAGTTTCCGGCCACACAAGGTACGGCGAGATTCTGGAAACTGATGTCAAGAGGGACTGCCAAAAGCGAAGCTATGCCATACATGGTGTGTGCTTGATCGGCCAACACAAGCTATAGACTGGCTGCCTTGTTGCGACTCAATGACTCAAGGATCCAATCGTGCGATCGCTCTCCGTGCAGGATCAACAATCGGGCCGCTCCAAGGGCTTTGGCTTTGTGACTTTCGCTTCAGAGTGCCACGACTCAGCTTGTGTCATGAACCGTGTCACGTTGCTTGGTTTCGCAACGAACGCTGGCTTCACAACCCGAAACGCACTGCAGGGAGCCTGCAGAAGCTTGCATTGCTGATATGAAGGTGGTGGGCATGATGTAGCAACGACATTGAGCCTGATGATGAGTTATATACTACATATGCTGCACATGCTGTGCATCACTTGCCGTGTGCTAGCTGTACTCTCAAATTGAGCACCATGGAGGGCTTCTACGTGGTGGGGTTCATTCATGCTTTTGTTTGATAGTAACGCGCTACGCCCAATTCACAATACTCAACAAATTAGCTTTGGACTTTGTGTTGTGCTTTAGAGCGGTGTCGGCAAGGCCCATGTCATTGACGGCAAGACGGTGGATGTGAAGCGATATGGCTTTAGCACTCCTCCAGGCTTGTGAGTGGTAAACACATGCCTTTGCAGATGCCTCATTCTGAATGCAGCAGCTATTGTGGGCAAACCATGTTAACGGACTACAATGATTCATGGTTCAGCGGTGGGTATGCATTTTGTGGCTATGTTGTTGTTCCACTGCTGTGTTCGGCTTCGCCAGGGCGGAGCCGTGACGGGCCACCACAAGGTCAAAGACCGGCACCGGCACCGCGCGAGATCATCCGGCCCACGAGCTTCTCGGAGTCCTTCCGAGACCTGCCCAGCCACGGCCCTGGAGCTTCGGCGAGCAGACGGACGACATGTTTGGGGGGTTAAGATGGTGAAGTCATGTGCAGACCAAGGCCGGGGCAACACCTCAGGATGGTCAGGTCATTCAGGTCATTCGAACTTTTTCCGCTTGGAGTCCTTCGAAGCCGATTTCGTCTGTGGTGTCCCGTGAGTTGCTAGGACCTGCCACGCATGACCACTATGAACCAGCACCCGTTCGCAACTATTCGGTGGCGGATGATGTTAGATGGCCAGGAACTGAGGAGCTGTCACCCCCGCATACTTGAAGGAGAATCATGTCTTGGCTGTGGGCTGTGGGATGCTGTAGAGTCCACTTCAACACCCCCTCCCTCAGAGCACTGGTTGACCAGACCTATTGGATGAAGATATTGGAACAACATTGAACAACATGGACTGCAAAACATGTAAACCTAACCACGCCTCACCATCTGCTTTTGTGTGGTTCGTTTTGGACCACACTCCCGGGGCTGCGCCTTTTTGGATATTACTGTTTTTGATGATGGAAAGAAGGTAAAGAGGGAACTCCTTAAGTTGCTGCGCAGGCTGTTGACCTGACAGTGGGTTGGCGTAGGCTTGCGTAGGCTGTAGGGAGAAGCACCTGCAGAAGCTGTTTTATGTAAGAAGTTTCGTTTGAGCAGAAACAGAAACAAGTCTGCCGTAGGCGCACAGGCTTGTGCGTTGCGTAGGATCCTTTGTAGTGTACAAGCTCCAGGCACAAAAAAACAACTCTCATTCTGGACCGTGAAGACACAGCGCTTCAGTGGGTGCACCACTGTGAGGTTTGGTGGTCTTGCTGAAACAGCGATTGGCCAAGCTTCTGTCGAAGAAATGTACCAATTTAGAATTATTTAGATTTGGTCAGTGTCACCCGGTCTTCCCAACTTCTCCACATACGGCATGGCTGAGGTGCCTCCGCAGTATCTTGACCAGGACTACTGCATTACGCGACTTGGATCTGAACCTGAACACTCTTGAACAACCAAGGAGCCTCTTATAGAGGGAAATCGGAATCATGATTGATTTGGCATTACCAGCTACGTTGGCATTGGCCTGTTGACCCCCTGAATCTTCACATGCATCATAGTTTCGATTTTGAGACTCGAAATCGGCACCTGGTTGGGTCCGGCTCCTTCCCAGGGCTTTGTTTGGTCCCAGGTGCAGCCTTCCCAATGCACAGTGTGGAGCTCTCATTGGGCGAGGGGGGGAGAATATCAACGAGGCAGCGCGATGTGGTCATGCAATGAGAGATTGCAGATTTTGCACATTATTGTATTGACATTGCAGAGCCAATGTGCAAGAGGCGATTAGAAAATGGACAGACCATGAGCAGGAATGCCCACAAAATGCGAGGATACACTGCCATACAATATACAGCTGCAAATTTGTGTTATTTTTCTGCACAAAAGCATGGATGCACCCATTTCATTCAAGATCTGCTTCCTCGACCGACAGGTTGAGAGAAAGACTGGGACGAGAGTTCAGCTGACCAAGAAAGAGGAGGACAGAACTCTTCACTGTAACAGGTTCCATCAAACTCAGGGCAGTTGGAGTACTGCTTGCAAGAGTATAACCTGGAAGAGTCCTTGTTACTGGCAGCTTCTAGCTAGTAATGCCCTGTTCCTAGTAGCGATGCCCTTGTTACCTTCTATAATGAAATCCCAAATCTTTTGCAGAACTCGGACCACCGGACCCTGTCCATCATCGGTCCTTTGATTTCTGTCATGGGCACAGCCTGATCGCTTTGGATTCATCTTGGCAATTCCGTTGGATGCCTTGATCTCAGGTCTATGCGGCTCATCTTTTGGTGATGCGAAACTTCAATGAGGCTTTGCATCGACCAGATCCGAAAGAACGTCAAGTGGAGGAGCCGACAACTTCACTTTGCGCAATGTTTTGCATCAACCAGACACACTGAAGACTGAAGTCTACAAAGCTGAAAACTGCTTGATTTTAACATTGGAGGAGTTGCAAAAGCAAATCGCGGTGTTGACACAACAAGTGGATTCTGTGAGTGATTTGGTTGCATTAACTATGTAGAAAAGGTATTGAATTGTCAAAACAATCTCCAAGGAAGCGGGCGACGTAGATAATTACATTATATGTAAACCAATTTCTAAAAAAGAGCATAAGTTTACTTATTAATTATCAATATTTTTACAAATCAACAGTAACAACAATGCTTGAATTTATGATAGACACATTATATATATATATACCAATATTACAAACATATATTATTGTATATATATATATTGTAGTTGTGTAGAGCTTTGGGTAGGCTTGGGTGCACACACATCATTACAACTCCCATGTCACATTTTGGCTCAAGAGCCAAAACTGGACAGGGGTTTCTGTCTGAATTGATTCAAGCGAGGTGTGGGATTATACCGTAATTTTTGAGTGTGAAGGACGTACTTGATATGACTATTCCCCCGGGGCTTGATGTCGCTGTGAACAGCAGCTTATTTCACTTGCGGCCTTCGCTGAGTTCCGCCAAGCTGTCCAGGACCGACTGGGTCGGGGAAGCATTTCTGCTTTGAAATCGCAGAGCGCAATCACTTTCGAGCACTACACTGTAGCCCTTGCGGCACCCTGGGGCTTTCCATCAGTATCATCAGTTCGCCAACATTCATGCACCAAATCCCGATGCCCTCGATGTGAAGGGTTGCGAGGTGGCTTCATGTTTCCATGGGTCGGAACGTGGACTCGCTGAGGGACGAAGCTCTGCGGCCCAAGCTTGGGAGCGGCATCGCGCCATTCTTGGTATATTGGATCGTCCGTCTATTGGAGCTGCAAAACTGTAATTCTTGCCCTCTTCGGCCACCGTGGACGCTTCACCCCGGACTACCTTTGGGCATGCATTCCTCATTCGGTTGCCAAAACAGAAGTCTTTGCCCACCTTCGTACGCGGGGGCTTATGTATTGAGGGCTTTGGAGGGATCTAGGCTCTGTCATTTTTCCGGCAAGTGACGCCGTAGCACAAGTCTTTCCTGCTGAAGTTCGGGCCCGCTGCGCAGTCCGTGGATGGCTTGGCGCTCAAGAGTATGAGGCCCAGGGGGATTGGTCGCTTGCGCCTGTTGCTGTCCACGCTGCCACCCGCTTCCTTCTGATAGTGTGAGTAAGCGTTCCTGCGCAGCCCAAGCCATGGCCTATCGTGAACAGGTCCAATTCTTGGAATCGGCAGGGATGCTGCTCCCTCTTCCTCGTTTTGGCAGGCGGTGGATTCCCTACGCCGGGGCCGAGGTGAGCTACCACATGGCGGGAGAGCCATGGAATGGATGATGCGGACTTTTGCCTACTGGCTTGCGGTCAGATCACAACAGCAATGGCATCGCGCCCCACGCCCTTCAACGAGGCCGCCGCTCCAGGAGGCACCTGTCCACGCGCCCCTCGAAAGAAGCTCGCAAGGAACGATTCAGCGACAGGTACGGGAGCTTCAGCAGTCCGTCTATCTACAACCAGCTGGCAGCCATGCAACGAGACTGGAAAGCTTCAGTCCTGCGTCTTAACAGAAAGTGCCAAGTGCTGAGTGCATCGCAGTCCAGCATGCCATCAAAACTTTTTCTGAATTCTTGGAGAATATGGCCCACCGGCAGCGCAAGTTCCCACCTTCGTTTGTCGACGTCGGCGCGTTGCGAGCTTGGCGCGAACGAGGGCATTGATGACTTTCCCAGCAATAGAAATTCGTCTCCCATTGTTATTGTTGGAAAATTTCATCTGCAGTCGTTCCGTCCCTCGGGAACTCCCCGATGCGCCTCAAGTTTCCATCTGGCTGCAGTCCTGCGCAGGAAGCGCAGATTCAAATGATCGTCTAGTGTCCGGATGAGTGAGAGAAGAGAAGAGAAGAGAAGAGAAGAGAAGAGAAGAGAAGAGAAGAGAAGAGAAGAGAAGAGAAGAGAAGAGAAGAGAAGAGAAGAGAAGAGAAGAGAAGAGAAGAGAAGAGAAGCGAAGCGAAGCGAAGCGAAGCGAAGCGAAGGGAAGGGAAGGGAAGGGAAGGGAAGAGAAGAGAAGAGAAGAGAAGAGAAGAGCGGAGGGGAGGGGAGGGGAGGGGAGGGGAGGGGAGGGCAGGGCAGGGCAGGGCAGGGCAGGGAAGGGAAGGGAAGGGCAGGGAAGGGAAGGGAAGAGAAGGGAAGAGAAGAGAAGGGAAGAGAAGGGAAGAGAAGGGAAGAGAAGAGAAGAGAAGAGAGGAGGGGAGGGGAGGGGAGGGGAGAGGAGGGGAGGGGAGAGGAGAGGAGAGGAGAGGAGAGGAGAGCAGAAGAGAGAAGAAGAGAGAAGAAGAGAGAAGAAGAGAGAAGAAGAGAGAAGAAGAGAGAAGAAGAGAGAAGAAGAGAGAAGAAGAGAGA